CTATACTTCACTGTGTTTCTGTCGTATTCTTCCTTTGCTTCTTGCACTTATTATTTGTAGTTCTGCCTATTGTACAGGCTCCTTTTTTTTCTCACAAGAGGAAAAAAGGGAAAAATATATATTTGCATTTCATTTATAAAATAGATTTTTTTGTGTGTGCTTAGTGCTTTTATTGTAGTTTTGGTTTTCAAACTGTGAATGAGGTTCCACGTATAGTTGTGTGGGAATATTTCCTTGCATAAAGATGAGTGAATCTTAATTGTGGCCTTGGAATTGCTTTACCATGTTGAAGTCTTTTTGCTTGGTTTTGAATACAAGTAGAGTTTTCTGTAATTATTCAAATGCTGAATTCAACTGTAGGAAAGAGGATGAAGGCAAAATCCTACTCATGTTGCTATTCCTCAAGCTGTGTACAGCAGCCATCTGCTCCTTTGTCTGGCACCCAATAAGGCATTTTGAAATCATGCCTACCCATTCCTCCTCTCTATTCAACAGAGGAATGGGTAGGCATGATTTCAAAATGCCTTGGTGGGCACTACATATCATCTTAGATGATATTACTTATCATCTTAAAAACTGAGAAAGGCCATGGATGAATGAACAAGTGAAAGCATTGCAAGGCGTATTTCTGTTTGTTTCACTGGTTTGGCGTGTCCTCACCCTGTGATTTCTTGATTCACAGATGTCTTATGATATGTTCTTAAAAGGCTATTAATTAAGAAATACTATTGTTAGTTTTAGATAGGTTTTGTTGCTGTTGTCATTATTGTTTTTCACTTGGGCTCAGGAACGTTTGTTTCTCAGTAACACTTGTTATAGATTACCTGAAGAGGTGAGACAGGATCTGTGAGAAGAGATGATATCTTTTATGAGACCAATTGATGTAATCAGAAAAAACAGATCAACTTTCAGCTACGCAAAATTTTTCACACTGGAATCTGTCGGCTTTGAACTGCCTAATAACTGCCTTCTCTGCCTGCAAAGGAAGAAAAAGCAGTTTCTTCTTTCTCTTTTTATGAATAATTATATTTGGGAGTCATGCAAGATACTGGAGCAGTTAAATTTTTCTGCAACTAAGGCTGATCATTGTGTTTATAACTGATTCATTCTTTTAATTCTTAGGAAAATAACATAGTAAGTTTTCATTCAGGACAATACTCTCTTGTAATCCCAGATTATTTTAGAGACGATCAGAAGTGTAAGCGAACCCATAAAAAATGTGGTATCTCACTGATACCTTTATGGTTTGGAACCTTAACTGAGAAGCTTTCTCTTCATGTGTCAGTGTGTTTTGAGGCCATCACTTTTAGATTATGCATATTCTAATTTTCCCATTACTTTATGATATTCTTTTTTAAAAAAATAATATAATGAGACAGGCATGGCTTCCCAGTAGTCTTCTTGCTATTTGCTAGATTCACTACAAATAAATACATATCTACTGCAGGAATATTGTGTGTTAGAGACGTATTCCATCTGAGTGGTAAACTTTGAAATAATTGGAAGAACACCGCAGATGCTGAAATTTATATTTCATACATTATGAAAGGTATCTATGTATGAAGTTATTTTTTATTGTTCTTGCTCAGACTGAGTGCCATTATGCCCCATGAAAAGTCCAATTAGAATCTGAAAGGAGAATTTACAAAGTAGTTTACAAAGAGCTGAAAACCACAGGCTGGTTCTTATTATGGGTATCTCCATGGGTTAAAACAAAAATAGAAGGCAATCTGTTCACTACGTTGCAAAAAGCCATGTTAGCAAAGAGGCATCATTATTGCTCTAAATAAAGCAATTGCGTTATTTCAGATGTTTTTTATAGCATAGGAAATGGATGTGGGATGCATTGAGGTATTTGGCATTTTGTGGTGGTAGTGCTGCAAGATTCTGTAGTCATCAGCCCACCTCCATTTCTGTGAAGCTGAGGGCCCTCATCATCCTGTGGAAATACTGCTGGCGAGGTTTCCCTGGGAGCTTTTTAGCACAAGCACTATTCTGCTAAGAGATGTTTTCCACGGGTCCTTGTCCTTGTTACCCAAGGACAGCAAACTGAATGTTTCCTGGCGTATATTACAGGAATGTGTCTTGCTAAGAGTGTATTGAACACTTTTTTTGCATCTTGCTGGGCTATATACATTGAGCTTCATGACACTATTTCATTTTTAGGCACCTTAGAAGGGCAGAGGCATTCCTTGAAAGATAGAAAATAAAGGACATATAAAACTCAGAACAATGTCATCTGAAAGTTCACATCTTGATTGATAAGTCTGGATTTTTGTTCTTTTTCTTTGATATGTTCTTACTTTTGTCTGTTAGCTGAATAATAGATTGTTATTTCAATATATTTTGACTCGGAACCATTTGTCTTGAAGGTGCTTTTTTCACCTTATTCTTTTAGATACTTTATAATATAGTTCTATAATTTTGTTGTTGTTTTTTTCCTACACAAATGCAAATAAATTTTTCAGCGTTGAGTAGCACCACATGAAGTCCTACCTTCATTTGATGAAAGACTGAATTCAAAAGAAATCATAGAATGGCTAGGCTTGGAAGAGATCTCAAAGATCATCCGGTTTTAAATTCCCTTGCTGTGAGCAGAGTTGAAATTGCTAAATCGCTAGATCAGGCTGCCTAGGGCCTCATCCAACCTGGCTGTAAATGCTTCCAGGTTTGGATCATCCACAGCTTCACTGGGCAGCCTGTGGCAGGGCCTCATCACCCTCTCAGTGAAGAATTTCCCCCTGAAAACTAGTGTAGGTTTCCCCTCTGTTACTTTAAAACCGTTACCCTTGTCCTGTCACTATCCATCCATGTAGAAAATTTTATTTCCCTCTTGCTTAAAAGCTCCTTTTAGTATTGGAAGGCTGCTATCGGATCTCCCCTAAGCCTTAATAGTAGGTATGTATAGTATTTAGCTACTCCATTCTGTGACAAAAGTTTTGTTGAAAGTGGTTTGCTATCAATCTTATCTAAAAATCCATTGTCACCATTCCTAATACGCTAGAATCCTAGCAATGCATGCCAGCCTTGGAGGCAAGGACCCTCTCAGTGTTCCATCTTAGTGTGCACTGTTACATCATTATGTCTTACTAGGTTATCTTGCTTCCTTTGTATTCTTTCACTGATATATCAGTGGAGAAATAATTGTAATGCATTCAGTATTTTAAGGCCTTGCTCTACTGCTTTGTTCTACTTCCTAGAAACCTTTCTGGTGTCTGTATTCATTAGTTAATTCCCTTCCCTATACCTTGAAGATATATCTATCACTATGACCTTTTTTTCCTTTTCCTCAGTTTCACCTAAGTATGTTAGGTCTTTTTTGATGTTGTTCTATCAACTGAAGTAATTAACTGTCTGTGTTTAAATCTTTAGCCTTAGTCTTTTGATACTGTCCTAGTTAGAAGGCATGGAGTAGAGGAAATATTTGAGAACATGTCAGCATAGGAATGACAGCACTTCACATTTGAATGCCGAAAAAGAGATCTTCACTGTAAATATGCAGTGATAGAAAACAGTGCAGTCTGAGTTTTACTTTTTGAGCTGTCAGTCTGTTTCTTTGCAAATTCCATCAGAAATTACGAGATTTTAAAATTTTATTAGTAGACATCACACATGAAGGAGCTGTGAGGCAGCATCCCTGAAGCCTGTTTGTGCCTCTTCCAAAGACAGTGTGGCTGGTGGTAATGGGGAACATCTGATCCTGATACTTTGAGGACGGCTGATAAATCTCTTTGCTTAGTGCCAGGCTCGGTGCCTACAGCTAGACTTCTGCATGGTGCCAGTTGTGGTGCCAGATGTTATGTGTTAGGGATCAGAAGATACAGTCGCAGTAGCTCATACAGCTCCATGCAAGATGGCTTTAACAAAATAGTGGAGGTTCTAAGAGTGATGCTGCTAGCTTGAGGTTAGCCTGCAAGAGCCTCCCAGCAGTGCAGTGCTTATCTTGTATGCCAGGCTTAAAAAAAATAAGATTTCCTACACTCACTCTCTCCTTTTTTTTATTTTATTTTAAATTACGATTATGTTTTGGTTTATGGCTATTGCAAGCAGGACGAATTTGGGAACTTTCTGAAACTTTTAACTTGTAGCAGAGTAATTCAAGGAAAACATCAACATCCCTTTTGAAAGTGACTTCATTATAATGATTCTCTTGTGTTGCGGACTTCTTTCAATGCATCAATACTATTAATGCCAAAGACATTAATATCTCTACATTAACATTTAGATAGAAATTTTATTAGAAGAGGAGAGTTTCAAATGAAATATGAAGTCTCCCTCTTGCTGTTATAGCATATTTCTATTAAAAAAATGACTTGCTAGTTTAGTTTTTTTGTTGAAAAAATTTGGTGCAGTAACTTCGAAGATACTCTGTTACAAACTCTTCTCAACTCTCCAGGCATTTCGTGATACACTTCTCCTTTTCCTGGAAAGACAAAAGACCAATTCCCCATCACTCTGAGACTGTCCCCTTCAACAGCTGTGTGCAAGTGCCCCTTTGGGTAACATCTTGCAGTATGTGCCCTGTGCAGAAACCATGATGATGATTTAACTGTTTATGTCTCTTTGATCAGCTTAACTTAAACATTATATTATGTAAGCAGGCAGTCTACTATGTATGTAAATAGAAGCCCAGAAGATGTCTATTACTGATTACATCTGTATAACAAAGTCATGTTTGACAGGAGAGAAAACATACAATAATCTGCTTTGATTTAGTAGATTTTTGCCCCTTGGCTTGGTGGTTGGGCATGTTATACGATGTACTGTACTGTTTCTCTGCATGGATCTTCTGGCTCCAAGTACTTCAGCTGTTATATTTTTCACTTAAATGACAATCTTTCATTTTAGTACAGCAAAATGAAGACAGCAGCATAAGAAAATGTGTTAACTCTGTTTTTCTATCCTGTCCAGAGAATACTGGCTTCCTGGGATCTTTATAGTAGTCAGCCTTTGGTTCAGTATTTGTATTTGTAATCCCTATGTTTTCTTTTCTGTCACAGGTTTTTCATTATTCTTATACAGCTTCATATGTGATTTACAACATTCACACACGGTAGGAAAAACTGTTCTTTCAATTTGATGTCATTGTCACTAAATCTATAAATAAAGCAATGCCAAAGTATTCAAGTAAAAATCTTTACTTTCTTTTCAAGGGAAGTTTGGGAGTTAAACCCTCCAGAAGTAGAGGATTCAGTATTACAGTATGCGGCATGGGGTGTCCAAGGGCAGCAGCTGGTAAGCACAGTCATTCAAAATGCTATGAGAAGCAGTTTAATAATTTATTTACTCTAGACAGAAGTAAAAACCAAAATTAAAAACCTTAAGGTCACTTTTGTTACATGGCTTTTACCTAGAAGCTGCATTAACTGTATACTGGATGTTAGTATCTTTTTGTTCCAGGTCTTTGGGGATGTTTTAATTTTCATAAAAAGTAATATGTCTTACTTTGTTTCTTTTTTTTTTTAGTTGTTTTCTTCTTGTTGTTGTTTGAGCTTTTTTTTTTCCTAATAAGCAAAGTCTTTAATTTTGTATTTATTGAAAGAGTCAAACTTTCATCTAAATATGCACCCAAGTAATTCTTATGATAGGCATGTTTATGGCCATGACTATGAGAACAGCAAAATTGAAAGTAAAGTTTTTAACTGCACGATCAATAAAAACTGTGTACAGTAGCAAGAGGCTTAACATTCAAAAGTGGATGTGATAAATAAAATCAATTATTTTTCATTAAGAGTGTTACTGCCAAGATAATTTGTGCTGCATTTAGTTCATAGTAGTAAAAACAAAAATACTGTTTTATATAATGTTTTCTATCAAAAGTTTGATCATGTTTTATGAACATAAATCACTCTGTGACCAACCCCAATATGAGAAGTAAAAAATAGTGATTTTTGAAACAATGTTGATTTTAAACTGATGGTAGATGAAGACAAGAGGAAGACTTATAAAAACCTCTAAGTTTCTACTCTCTGAATAGAGAATTCACATATATTTGAGGTAACAATCTAATAAAATGATTAATGCTAACATGCGTGATCTGAGAGCCTCTTTGAATGTGTGACTTGTTTATGTAGATAGTTTGTAAGTTCAGTGTCTTGCTTATTCATCAGGGTGGTGGGAACATAAAAAATTGTTCTGGTTGTAAAGCACTGTATCAAGTAAGTGGAGTCAGGAAGGAAAAAAAATTGGTATGTTTGATATGCTTTAATAATTGACCACATTAATTTACCAATAATGAGAGCATGGTGACAGAATTGATGGTAACAAATATGTAAATTATTTATGAGATAGTTTATGGAATGCAGCGGGCTGTGCAGGTTGTAACAGAATGGTGATGCATTTGCAAAACAGAGCAGAATTAAAAACCATTTTAAATTAATTGCTGTTTGTAAGACTTTTTCTGTGCTATTCTCTAATCTAAAGTGCAACTAGAAGTACATGCGGTGATTACTGAGATGTGAATTTTTTGTTTTCCTGAGGTTTGTCTTAAGGACAGGGACAGACTTAACTATCAAAAGCTTCAGAAAAAAATAAGAAATCAGAATAACACTGGATCTGTTTTACCTAGATTGTCATACTGGAAATAGGTATGAATAACTTTACATACAAGCAGAGATTGTATCCTATTAAGTCTCAGAACTGGAAAAAGAAAGAAAGTAACCAGTCTTTTTTAGGTCCTGTCTAAATCATGCAAAATTGAAAAATCGTAATTTATACTTTGATGAAGATAATATTGCTTTTCTTTTTAATGTCCTAGTAAAGTTAATGTCATGCTTTAAAAATATCTTTTCCTGATTCTGAGGCTTTATGGTGCCATATGGTCTGCAGAATCAGAAATTTGTATCTTTGATTAAAACACAAAATCTGTGCACTCTCAATGATACCAGGTATTGCTATATAGATGTGAACTTGCAATGGCAGCATACTTAGGGTCACTTTGATGAGAATCTTTCACAAGAGTGTTCTCTTGAAGCTATTTATATGGCAAAAGGTGGTTTCTAAATGACAGATGTGCATTGCCAAATTACCCTTGAACTTCAGCATTCATGTTGAGGTAGACCTCTGAAATGAAAAAGAGTAGAACCGTTCCAGTTTTCACTAACTTGGTGCTATGACTGGTCCTTGATGAAATAGTTTGGGATAACACGTGCAGTTGAATCAACTGTTTCTTGCTCTTTAGCTAGAGTAGTGGATTCTGTAAAGATTAAGAGAAAAGCTCAGAGAAACATCTGCTGTTTGAGTCATGACATTTTAGTGTAAAATTAAAACTGCCTTTTGGGAGAGCAAACTTTTGTCTAATGAGTTAATGCATTTTAATGTCACATAGCTGTTATTTTTGAGGACTGTTTCCAAGGTCATATTCTTTAAAATACAGTGTTTTGAATGTGTTAAAAGTGTGCTAGATCTAAATACTATTTCTGTGTATCTTGATATGTTAGGGATTTTTTTATGTAGTTGTTAAGTGTTTGTCATATTTGCTGAACATGAAGTTTAGCCAGATAATTCCAGGGAACATAAAGCAGCACAAGTAAATACCTAACTGATTTCATCAATATTTATTTATCTCTTGTTTACTTGATTAGAGAACTCACCACATGTGTCTGAGAAAGATATCCTACATGTGGCAGGGAGGCCTTATCAAGGAGAATGTTGCTGTTTTCAAAATACCCTATTCTTATTCAATGTCTGCTCCAGTACTTTGTAGCAAATGACTCCATGCTGGACCTGGCATGGAGGCAGGGTTGGGAGCACTGGACAGCAGGAGAAAGCTGTCTCTGTTTATTCAGTAAGACATATTAGAAGTCTGAATGTAAAATCTATTTCCAAAATACACAGTTTTCTATGAGAGATACAGTGTTCCTCCAGAGCACTTGATGCAATATGGATAGTTTTTATTGTCTGTCACCAGAAAGATTAAAGTAGCAATCAGTGATGTGCGGCTAGAAGGTCTTCAGTTTGTCTGATCTTTTAAGAAAAAGTTTTACATAGTTGACACCTTAATTTCACTCTAGGTGGCACATGTTTATTTTATATGACGTTCTTTCTATTCACTTCTTAAATCACTTTGCCTTTGTATTTACAGTAGGTATTTTATGTTATTTATTGAACTGAGCTTATTATTCTTATGATATACTATATGATTGTGAAAGGAACTGTTGGATAAGCATAAATAATGGTAGATTTAGTTATGTATGAATGCTTATTTATAAATAAATCCATATTTTAAAATGGCAGAAATAAAGCACATGGTTTAGCTCTCTAGAATACTAAAAAATAAATAACTTTGTAGAAGCTTGATAGCTTTCTTCATCAAAAATTGATGCCATCAACAGGAAAGCATTATTAAATGGTAGAACTGAAGATGAGCTTTTATTATGCTTTAACACAATTTAGCTCCTCATTGTGTAGAATTATCTATTATCTTTTACACACAATGAACGATTTGTTGACTGCAGCTGAACTGTGGGTTCAAGTTGCTCACATCAAATTTTGGAAAATGTATAAAATATTAGAGAACAAATTTTCCTTCTTGTTCCAATATTGGAAAGGATTATCATAACTAAAGAGGCACACTTTTGTCTAATGAGTTAATGCATTTTAATGTCATATAGCTGTTATTTTTGATGACTATTTCCGAGGTCATATTTTTTTAAAATACAGTTTTTTGAATGTGTTAAAACTGTGCTAGATCTACATACTATTTCTGTGTATCTTGTAGCTGAAGTATTTACAAAAAGAAAATGAGAGAAAGAAGGAAAACTAAAGGAAAAGGACCTCACTTTATATTAAAACTATGTAAAACCAGACAAAAGGAAACTCGTTAACAAAACAGAGACAAACTTGATTTTATTATCAAAAATAAACACACTAATTCAAGAACCCCCTGCTTTATTGTCATTTAGCATTGTCAAAGCTGTACTGCTTGGAAATCCATTTTATCTTCTCTTCTTATCAACATTTATAGCCCTGCCAAAATGACAAAATGAAAGCACCTTTTGGACTTGTGACAATTCCTTACTGCCTTATTTATTTATTGTGTCAGAATACTGTTTTAGTCGATACTGCAGGGAAAAAAAAAAAAAAAAAAAAAAGAGTTTTCTGATGTTATATTGTTTGCCAATTAACCACAAAGCTAATTTTGGTAAATAAGAGTTAGTGGGACTGTGCTGGACACATGCCTTGCTGAGCAGATTCTTTAAGAACCAGGATTTGCTAAAAGCTTCCTTTACAATTTGTTCTATCAAAGTTCAAAACAACATTTCTGTAAAAATGTGGGTAACTTTCTGGGATATGTTTGTGTTTGTGCATAATAAATGCTGTCTGTACTTGGCACCCCCTCCTGGCAAAAATCCGATGTTTGCAAATGAGGAAGAAAATATCTCAGTGTTCGTGAGCCAAGTAGAAGCTTAATTAACACTACTTAAGTAAGTCTTAAATAAATATATTTAATTTGTTTTTACTTTCAAAGTCTTTTGATCTTTGGACTTGAACTATTTTAATGTAAGTAACTTAAAATGACATATGGAAATGTCAAGGTTTTATTTCATCTTTCCTTTTGCTCGTGATGCTAATGAGGCAAATGGCAGTAAAACTGAGAGGAATCTTCATCTTCAATTTATTTTGAAAACTAGAAATAAACAAGAACATTTTAATATGATATTAAACTTAAGTATGATTATTTTTATTTTAAAAACCCACTGGGAAGTTGGTTGGGCACTTGAAACAGGCTCCAACAGGCAGTGGTCACAGCCCCAACCTGATAGAGTTTAAAGAGCATTTGAACACTGCTCTCAGAACTATGAGTTGGATTCCTGGTGATCCTTTTTGAAGCCAAGAGTTGGGCTGGATGATACATGTGGGTATTTTCCAATTCAGGATACTCTTAAGATTCTGTGAATCTATTTTCTTTTCCAAATATTTCTATCCATAATTTTAGATTTCATCTGGGAAACTTCTTAGATAAAATATACTAAATGGTCAGATGCTGTTATGAAATTATATGGAAGACTTACTAGCATACTTGAAAAAGCTCTTTGCTTCTTTTATTTTTTCTACCTAAACTGATTCTGTTTTTTAGGATCTCTGTTTAACAGAAGAAATATAATATTTCTCTTCACATAAGAATCAATTACCTGATAGTTTAGTGAAACTATATTCTTCAGTAATCTACTGCTAGACATTGAATTTGCTCTTAAATTTCTCAAACCAGCATTGTAAAAAGTAGCTATTCTTTG